GATCCATCTGTGTGTGGTGGCTCTTGATGCACTGATTCCAGCCTCAATCCACTCCTTGTGAAAGTCCCCAACACTTTTGAATGGCCTTTTCCTGGCAATCCTCTCCAGGCTGCGGTCATCCCTGCTGCTTGTGCACCTTTTTCTTCCACACTTTTCCCTTCCACATAACTTTCTATTAATGTCCTTTGATACAGCACTTTGGGAACATCCAACTTCTTTTGCAATTACCTTTTGAGGCTTTCCCTCCTTATGGAGGGTGTCAGTGATGGTTTTCTGCACAACTGTCAGGTCAGCAGTCTGTCCCATGATTGTGCTTCCTACTGAACCAGACTGAGAGACCATTTAAAGGCTCAGGAACCCTTTGCAGGTGTTATGGCTTAATTAGCTGATTAGAGTGGGACACTTTGAGCCTAGCATATTGAACCTTTTCACAATATTCTAATATTCTGAGATTGTGGATTTGGGGTTTTCATGAGCTGTAAGCCATAATCATCTCAATTATGACAAATCACAGCTTGAACTATCTTGCTTTGCATGTAATGAGTCTATGTTATATATTAGGTTCACCTTTTAAGTTGCATTACTGAAATAAATGAACTTTTGCACAATATTCTAATTTTTTGAGTTCCACCTGTATAACAATAGTTTTAATAATACAAAAGATGATACATGGCATAGTTCAGTCAATACAGTTCATTAGTTTCCTATGATTTACCATTCTGTGTTGTTTTTTTACGTACCTGTTACTATCACAAGTGGGCAGTATTCACATCAACCACAGCTGAATATAAAAAGACTGATCAGCATCCAGATTAAGTTTCCATGGTACAGATTTTTTTTTTTGCAGTAGTTGACTATTTTACAGTACATGTGCTGGTCAGACAGTATATAGTTAATTGGGAATTGGGAGCTGTCCCTTTAAGTGAATGCCTCATGGGAAATGTAGTTAATGCCTCATGGGAAATGTAGTTCATGTCATGTGGTCACATCTGTAATCCTGATTGGTCACTGAATTGACCCTTGGTTTGGTTTGGGGGAGTTTCCTTTATTCTTGCTTGGACCCCAGCATCATGCTGGTGTCTTTCCCTTTGCTCCATCATTATGGGATCAAGATAACTACACTGCTCAAAAAAATAAAGGGAACACTTAAACAACACAATGTAACTCCAAGTCAATCACACTTCTGTGAAATCAAACTGTCCACTTAGGTAGCAACACTGATTGACAATCAATTTCACATGCTGTTGTGCAAATGGAATAGACAACAGGTGGAAAGCAGAGGCACTTAGCAAGACATCCCCAATAAAGGAGTGGTTCTGCAGGTGGTGACCACAGACCACTTCTCAGTTCCTATGCTTTCTGGCTGGTGGTTTGGTCACTTTTGAATGCTGGCGGTGCTTTCAACTCTAGTGGTAGCATGAGACGGAGTCTACAACCCACACAAGTGGCTCAGGTAGTGCAGCTCATCCAGGATGGCACATCAATGCGAGCTGTGGCAAGAAGGTTTGCTGTGTCTGTCAGCGTAGTGTCCAGAGCATGGAGGCACTACCAGGAGACAGGCCAGTACATCAGGAGACGTGGAGGAGGCTGTAGGAGGGCAACAACCCAGCATCAGGACCGCTACCTCCGCCTTTGTGCAAGGAGGGACAGGAGGAGCACTGCCAGAGGCCTGCAAAATGACCTCCAGCGGGCCACATATGTGCATGTGGCTGCTCAAACGGTCAGAAACAGATTCCATGAGGGTGGTATGAGGGTCCGACGTCCACAGGTGGGGGTTGTGCTTATAGCCCAACACCATGCAGGACGTTTGGCATTTGCCAGAGAACACCAAGATTGGCAATTTCGCCACTGGCGCCCTGTGCTCTTCACAGATGAAAGCAGGTTCACACTGAGCACATGTGACAGACGTGACAGGGTCTGGAGACACCGTGGAGGACGTTCTGCTGCCTGCAACATCCTCCAGCATGACCGGTTTGGCAGTGGGTCAGTAATGGTGTGGGGTGGCATTTCTTTAGGGGGCCGCACAGCCCTCCATGTGCTCGCCAGAGGTAGCCTGACTGCCATTAGGTACCGAGATGAGATCCTCAAACCCCTTGTGAAACCGTATGCTGGTGCGGTTGGCCCTGGGTTCCTCCTAATGCACAACAATGCTCGACCTCATGTGGCTGGAGTGTGTCAGCAGTTCCTGCAAGATGAAGGCATTGATGCTATGGACTGGCTTGCCCATTCCCCAGACCTGAATCTAATTGAGCACATCTGGGACATCATGTCTTGCTCCATCCACCAACGCCATGTTGCACCACAGACTGTCCAGGAGTTGGGGGATGCTTTAGTCCAGGTGTGAGAGGAGATCCCTCAGGAGACCATCTGCCACCTCATCAGGAGCATGTCCAGGCGTTGTAGGGAGGTCATACAGGCACGTGGAGGCCACACACACTACTGAGCCTCATTTTGACTTGTTTTAAGGACATTATTACATCCAAGTTGGATCAGCCTGTAGTGTTTTTTTCGACTTTAATTTTGAGTGTAACTCCAAATCCAGACCTCCATGGGTTGCTAAATTTGATTTCCATTGATATTTTTTGTGTGATTTTGTTGTCAGCACATTCAACTATGTAATGAACAAAGTATTTAATAAGAATATTTCATTCATTCAGATCTAGGATGTCTTATTTTTGTGTTCCCTTTATTTTTTTGAGCATTTTTTTTATTTATTTTCACACTATGAAGACAACTATGCAAAGATTGGACATTAGATGAATCTCAGCGTAACTGTGAGTTATGCCCTGAGGATGCCTATTACAATCCAATAAAGAAACTTTGTATGGAAGCCCTTGTAGAGTTTATCTAACTGTCTTTATATTCAGCCAGGAAGTTAACTCCGTGGGGTGCAGAAGGCAAACTTTGCAGGGTGGTTTGATTGGATTATCAGTTTCGTCCTAATGTTTTCTTATATTTGTTTTGTGGCAATCTCCTGTCTGTCTCCTTTGCAATATATTTTGTGTCTTTTGTCTGTTTGTTTAGCTGATTTGGCATGTCTTGTGTTTGTAAGGGTTTTCTTTTCTTGTTTCCTTAGTTTTCTTAATTATTTGGGCTTTTGTCTAAGGGGCTTCTTTAATACCTTTTATTTGATTCCTTTTCCTATGCAAGTTTGTTTTATGGCTGGCCTGATGTTCCCCTCGGGCTTTTCCTGCTTGGGTGTCACCACTGTCCTCGTGAAGTTCCCTTTCCACAGCGTGATCACGCCAGGTACTCATATGTGGGCATATCTGCAAGTGGGCAGACCCACCTGGAGACGGATAGAGTGGTGTCTCGGTTCCTAAGACCATCGAAAATATGTGTTTTCTGATGGTCTTAGGCGACCCCTGTGAAAGGGTCGTTCGACCCCCAAAAGGGTCGCAACCCACAGGTTGAGAACCGCTGTTGTAAGCGATTTAAAAATCAAATAAATAAAAATAAATCTTAGTTGCCAAGGTTGGAAAGCTGTTTGAAAGCAACAGGGAAGGCTTTCTTTCAATGGAGCAGACACGTTGAGTATAAAGACCACAAAAAGCCAGCTTGAACGGAACTCAGCTTGTACAAAGCCACTGTGGAAAGGGAACTTCATGAGGGCAGTGGTGACACCCAAGCAGGAAAAGCCCAAAGGGAACATCAGGCCAGCCATAAAACAAACTTGCATAGGAAAAGAGATTTAATAAAAGGTATTGAAAGAAGCCCCCTAGACAAAAGCCAAGTAATTAAGAAAGCTAAGGAAACAAGAAAAGAAAACCCTTACAAACACAAGACATGCCAAATCAGCTAAACAAACAGACAAAAGACACAAAATATATTGCAAAGAAGACAGACAGGAGATTGCCACAAAACAAATATAAGAAAACATTAGGAAACTGATAATCCAATCAAACTACCCTGCAAAGTTTGCCTTCTGCACCCCACGGAGTTTACCCTCCGGCGGAAATGAAGACAACCCCTGACAGGATTTAAAACATTAAGAAATACAAACACAAGCACTCACACACAAAAGGAGAAAAAGTATAAAATTCAGGGGTTTATTATACAAAGCGAGCTAGCTCCAGGAACGCAGACTTCTTGCTATCTCTCGCCTTCCTGAAAAATAAAAAGAACCGGCTTCCAAGTAGTTGTCTGAATCCTTGCACTGGAGTTCTCCCAGCAGGAAAACCGAACCCTCAGAAGAAAGGCATTTTCCAGCCTTTCAACACCACAATGTTGGCCAGCCCTGCACAAACCCAGTTTGCACCTGGGTGCAAAGCAGAACCCCAGGCAGGTAGGACAGTCACTCCCCAGTCTTGGATCTCACCCACTGACGGAATGCAGCCCTCTGAAACACGTGCCCTGGGTTTATTCAGCACGATGGGACTTTTTAGTCCACCGTGCAAACGATTGCACCACGCCAAACCTAGCCAACCAGGCACGGCTTTCGCATTCCCTTTCCTTGCACGGCCGGTCCCTGGAGCCGAAGACAAGCCAGTATTGTCTTCTTCTCACCTGCTTTAGCTCAGATCCGGACTTATCCCATCGCTGCGAAAGAAACTCCGAACATTTTCGTTCGCTCCGCCTTCGGCAGGAGGAAGAGGCTCGGGCGGGGTGATGGAAGTCGGAGAAGTCATCCGGAAATACCCGAAGACGAACTCGACTGCCAGGATTCCGATCAAAGGCGCTTTCTTTGGCGCTGGGCGGAAGTTGCTGAGAGTTTCCGTGATCGCCCCCCCCTCCGATGCCGAAGATCTCCGGAAGTCCCCGAGTCCTTCTCAAAACTCACTTCCAGGTTGGGAAGCCTCCTCGAAAGACCCGGAAATGCCCGAAGTAGTCCGGAAAGAGTCGCCCGAGCGACAGCGGCCCCTCCGCCCCTCCCTCCTTTCCTGCCGAACGCAAGCCTCCGAAACCAGACGGCGCTTGACGAAGGGCGGCCGAACGTCCACGAGACGGCGCGAGCTCCGGGTCGGAGGTCGCCTGCGAGCGCTGAGGCCTTCTCCGGAATTTCCCGAACGCCGCCGAAGCTCCGGGGAGGGCAGGCAGCAGCGCCACGCAACATGGCGGACGGGGAGGAGGTTACTCTGGACGGGAGGCCGCTTCAGGCGTTGAGGGTCGCCGACCTGAAGGCGGCTTTGGAGCAGCGGGGCCTGCCTAAGAGCGGGCAGAAGAGCGCCTTGATTAAGCGGCTCCGTGGGGTGAGGAAAAAGGGCCCGGCGGGAAAGGGGCCCGGGTTGCTTCGCGCATGCGTAAACCAAGACGGGCAGGTTTTTTGTTTTTTTTTTGCTTCTAAGCAACGCGGGCCCCTGGCCCTGGGGTGCTGCCGATGCTACGCATGCGCGGGCAATAGCCCACTACTGCCACCAAGCGGAGGGGGGCAGGAATGGGTCTCTGTCGGCTGTAGGGAGAAAAAGGGGGGGGAAGAGTCCTATTGACAGGAGAAGCCTTGACATCACTTTGGGGGTTGCCCCATAGGAATAGGGGAGGGGGATCCCCTTTTAAGTGAGTTGGGGGAAACCCTTGCAGAAGTTTAACAGCCTGTTGCTGATGGGGGGGAGAATGGGCACTTCCTGGCCCCACCAGTGGGGGAGGGCTATGGGGTGCCCCATGGCACCCTGATCCTCTCCCCCCTGCCAGTTTTGCAACTTGCCTTTGACTCACTTTTGGGGGGTGGGGTGGGTCTCCATTTATCTCCTAAAAGCCCCCCACCTCCCCCAGCTGCATAAGTTTCCTAGCAGATGTTCCTGCAATGAGATGAGCCAGCAGGGCTCTGCTCTTAACCCTGCTTTAATTCAGATTTAATTCAGGTTCATAGTTTCACCTGGGGACAGGTAGGTCCTCGCCCTTACAATGGTTCACTTACTGACTGTTCGGAGCAACAACGGCACTGGAAGAAAGGGACCTAGGAGCGTTTTTCCACGTGTAACGACCATTGCAGCCTCGATGGTCACGGGATTGACATTCGGGTGCTCAACTCGCAGTTATGACGGTGGCAGGGATTCCCCCTTTTTTTCCGCTTTCAGAAAAGCTAAAAGTCGACGGAGAAAACCGGACTTGCTTAAAAACCGTGTGTGGCTGATTTAAGGACTGGAGCGATTCACTTAGTAACAAATGTGGCCAGAAAAGTCGTAAAAAATGAGTAAAACATGCTGAGCAAATTTCTCACTTAGCAGCTTAAATTTTGGCTTCCATTGTGGTCATACGTTGAGGATTACCTGTATACTTTTTGTTTTAGGATGAGTGGGGTGGATGGATTCAGCTTTATAGGATAAAGATCCTGCCTTGAAGGATTTAGGGTTTTGAAACGGTTGTGGGCTGTGGAACTGCTTGCTACCAGAAGTTGTGGGTGCTCCATCACTGGAGGTTTTTAAGAAGAGACTGGACAGTCTCTTGTGTGAAATGGTAAAGGGTCTCTTGAGCAGGGGGCTGGACTAGAAGACCTCCAAGGTCCCTTTCAGCTCTGTTCTGATTGATTGATATCCCAATCTGGAACTAAGGACAAATTTCCTAACATAACAATTAACCAGTGGAATGGCTTGCTACCAGAAGTTTTTGAAATAGAAGTTTTTTATTTTTATCACAACAACAAAAACAAACAAAAAACCTTTCTGTTCCACAGTGTGTCAGTTGAGTACATATTTCTTCGTGCACAAAATAATATCATACATATTTAACTTGTTTATATTTATAATTGTTCTTATCAATATTTTATATCACATTTGTCACTTATTCTATTATCCTTAACTTTTAAGTCCTTAACTTTCAATAATATATTTCAAGTTCATTTTTTTACTCTTATCTAACTCATCTATCAGTAACAATATGTTATACTATACTTATATAATTCAATTCTTTACTCTTCTATCCAACCATTCATAAAATAATAGTCTTTTTCTTCTTGTTCTCTAATTGCCATTGTTAATCTACTCATTTCTGCACATTCTATTACTTTCTTAATTATTTCCTCTTCTGTCAGAATTTTTTCATTTCTCCAATTTTGTGCAAATACAATCCTAGCTGCTGTTAAAATATTAATAATCAAATATGTTAATTCTTTATTGTAACCCTCAGGCAAAATTCCCAATAAAAATGTCTCTGGTTTTAAGTCTATAGGTGGTTCTATCATCTTCTCCAGCCACATGTGTATTTTAGCCCAATACTTTTTAGTATCTGTGCATGTCCACCACATGTAGTGGTGATGATTTATTTATTTATTTATTTGATTTGCCAATTGTTTACAAGATAATAAGTATAAGTGTATACATAGTTGTGAATACATGAAATGGGTACATATAAGAAAAATAAAAGAAGAATAAGAGAAACAATAGGACAGGGACGGTAGGCACGTTGGTGCGCTTATGCACGCCCCCTACAGACCTCTTAGGAAAGGGGTGAGGTCAATAGTAGACAGTCTAAGGTTAAAGTTTTTGGGGTTTGGGGAAGAAACTACAGAGTCGGGTAGAGTATTCCAGACATTGACCACTCTATTGCTGAAGTCGTATTTCCTGCAATCAAGTTTGGTGCGGTTTACTTTGAGTTTGTATCTATTGTGTGCTCTTGTGTTGTTATGGTTGAAGCTGAAGTATTCATTGACAGGTAGGACATTGCAATGTATGATTTTATATACCATGCTTAAATCAGACCGAAGACGGCGTAATTCAAGGTTTTCTAGTTCTAGAATTTCAAGTCTGGTGGCATAAGGTATTCTACAACGAGTAGAGGAGTGGAGAACTCTTCTTGTGAAATATTTCTGGACTTTCTCAATTGTGCTAATATCAGATACGTAATGTGGGTTCCAGACTGATGAACTGTATTCGAGTATTGGTCTAGCAAATGTTTTGTATGCTCTGGTTAGTAGTGTGATATTACCAGAGAAAAAGCTACGTAGGATTAGGTTAACAACTCTTAATGCCTTTTTGGCTATGTAGTTGCAGTGGGCTCTAGCACTTAGATCATTAGAGGTGAGTATTCCAAGGTCCTTTACAGAGCTTGGGTCATCAACAAGATCTTGACTATTCAGCTTGTATTTTATTTTCTGATTTTTTTTGCCAATATGTAAGACAGAGCATTTATTTGTTGAGATTTGAAGTTGCCATTTGTTTGACCATTCTGATACATAGTCAAGATCTTTTTGTAGGGTAGCAGTATTGTCTGTGGTATTGAACAGCTTTACATCATCAGCGAAAAGAACGCAATTGCTCTTAATATGATCACAGACGTCATTTATGTAGAGTATGAAGAGAGTTGGTCCTAGAACACTGCCTTGGGGGACACCACTATTGACAGGTACAGAATTTGATAGGACGCTCCCAATTTTGACCATTTGTTGTCTGTTAGCCAGGAATGCTTCTATCCAGTTATTCAGTTGTCCAGAGATACCATAGGATTTTATTTTTAGGAGTAGTTTGTCGTGTACCACTGAATCAAAGGCTTTACAGAAGTCTATGTAGATTGCGTCTATTGCTTTGCCCTGGTCGAGTTGTGTCGTCCATATGTTTTTGCAGTGTAAGAGTTGCAGATTACAGGATAGTTTTTTTCTGAAACCAAATTGTTTATTGGAGAGTAGGTTGTTTGTCTCTAAGTGGAGGATGATGGATTGGTTAATAATTGATTCCATGACTTTACAGGTGACGCAGCATGAGATTGGTCTGTAATTTTCAACTAGGCTTGGGTCTCCCTTTTTGAAGATGGGGATGACTGTGGCTTGTGACCATAGGTTAGGCAAGGAGCTGGTCCTGAAAGATTTTTCAAAGATTATGCTTAGAGGTTTGGCTATGGCAGTGGATAGCTTTTTTAAGAAGTAGGCACATATTCCATCTGGTCCAATAGATAGAGATGGTTTTAGATTGCGTAGTGCTTTTTCAACATTGTCTTCTGTAAAATCGATATGTATTAGATCATTGTTGTTATCTGTGGTACGGCTAGGAAATACTGGGCATGATCCATTGCTGTTTACAAATACTGAGCCGAAGAATGTGTTAAAGAGGTTGGCTTTAATGGTGTCGTCGTTGCAGTCTTTACCATCAGGTCCTATCAAGGGTGGGATGGACCTTGAGTCTTTTAGTTTGTTGTTTACAAAATTGTAAAAAGCACGGGTGGAATTGGTGCTTAGAAGGTTTTCCTCTTGTTTAATGTGATAATTGGTGCATTCGGTCTTTATCTGGTGGCATAAATTTTTGTATCGGCTTTTGAAATTGGCAACATGACCAGATTTGTTTTTCCGCCAGAGTGATCTCTTTTTGGATTGAAGTTTCGTTATTGTTATGGGTAATCTGCTTTTTTGTTTTGTTTTGGGAGTTGCTGTTGGTACATATAGTTTGATGACTCTTTTGACTTCAAGTAAAAATATGTTGTAATGGTCTTCAACAGTATTGCATCCAGTGAATAGAGATTGCCAATCAAGGGATGAGAGATCGTTGTCTATAAGATCATAGTTGCCTTTTTTGAAGTTACAATTGGGGATTACATCATTGTGGTGATTTTTGTGTGGGCGTATGTTGAGACAAAAGTCAATCATATTGTGGTCACTGCTGGAAAAGGGTTCTTTAGTTTGTATTCCGTAAATTAAATTCAAACTATTGCAGAAGATGAGATCGAGGCAGTTGTTTAGTCTAGTGTTGTTGGTTACTGGTTGTTCCAGTCCCAGATTTGTAATAGCATTGTAGAAGGTTGTGTGTATGATTTCAGTTGTACATTCATTTAGGGTCCAGTCAATATGAGGTAGATTGAAATCACCAAGAAAGATAAAAGGGTATGGGCAGGATGCAGCCCATGTTAGTAATGTATTTAGCTTGTTTACATGTTCGATGTCATAATCAGGTGCTCTGTAACATAGTAAGAATCGAATTGTGATATTTAAGGATAGTTCACAGATGATGGTCTCAGGAAGAGCAAGCTCCTGGGTAACTTTGATATTTTTTAGATGTAAGGACTTTTTATAGAAGATAGCAACACCACCTCCTCTACGAATTTCACGATCTGATCGGTAAACATGATAGTCCCTTACTGTGGTAATGGAGTCAGGGAGAGATGCATTGAGCCATGTTTCACAGGCAAATATAATGTCGAATTTAGCCATATTTAGTAGGAGGAAAAATTCAGGTATTTTATTCATGAGGCTTCTTGCATTGAGTAGTTTGCATTTAAGGCCAGTAGTAGTTGGAATTGAGGTAGTTAGGGGCGTGCATGCCTAGTCTTG